TTCTTTCTTGAGACCATAATCTCATTGGTCCAATCTTGTACACGCGTTCACTTGCCTTAACTACACTGTACTAAGTTTCCTCAAGGACTTCTACTTTTGTGCTCTTCTTCTTGTGTTCTACCTTGGGGGCTCACACAAGGCGTAACGTAGACGGCGATATCGCAGCTTTGGCTACGTTTACAACATATGCCTCTTCCGAAGTTGCTCTCTGAGTGACTGGAACTTGAAAGGATCTGTGTTAGAGAATAGAATAGGGTATTTGAGCACAGATGGATATGCAGACGGACTACATTTAATTTCGACGACATTGTGCTACTATCAGTTAGGATGGCTTATATGGTCGCTTAAACAGGACATGGGAATGGGAACGCCCGCGCAAATAAAAAGATCATCCTGTGCATACCTTCAGGAAGGGTAAATATCTTCGCATACTAACCCTAACACTAGCCCAAGCAAAATCTAAAATGTGGCCCGAAGCTTAAACCCTAATCCCACAGTTGACACAAACCCTGACCTTAACCCCACATCTAATTCTAAATTATTTGAAGGCTTAACTTAACCACAGCCCTAAACCTAACCCTAAGTTTAACCCTAACCCTATTTATTTCCTGGAATTTAGCGTAAAGGCACCTGAATTGCGAACGGTTCCTATTCCCATGTCCTGTTTAGGCGACCATACAAGCTATCTTTGTCCCTACTGTATCATGCTGGACGCACTGGGCTAGTAATACCTCTGTAAATTATTCTGAACGACAAATTGTGGGCAGAAAAACAAGACCCGGCGCTCATCTACTGACGTCGCCAGCATTGGCTGAAGTTAGGTCTCTCCTGAAATATTAAAGTGGTTCACGTTAGCTTGCGTTGTCAAGGTTTCGTCAGGTGTATTTTTATGCGCAAACACTGCGTTACCTCATAGTGTCCAACCCAGTCTTATCCGTTGGTGCCTTAATGCACTGCACCGTAGAAGTTGGAAGCACTCGCCCCCTTTGCCCTGTTTCTAACTGTGTATTTTCAGTTTTTTGATTGATTGCTGGCCGCAAGACGGTTGTAAATCTATCAACTCCAAACTGCTCCAAGACTGATGTTTGGCAGAATGAATAATTTCTGAAACCTTTGTTTATGCTAGGTTGCTTCATTGTGCTCGCGATGAGATCAGACTATCGCAAATTTTGCTTTGTCTTTTACCTGGAGAATTTTGAAATGCACTGTTATGCCAAATTTGCGTAAGACTGTAGGTTGCGATTCATCCAGAGAAGCTCAGAGCAGAATTTACTTTCAAGAAAGGAATTTGGTTGGTAAACTTTTCGCTGAACGATTTCTTCGAAATACGCAGCTGTTTGCAGTTTATTTTAATGCCCTCCCCTTGAGTCCAGTCAGTAAGGAGGCCTATTGAAACTAACTTCAGTTATTACTTACAACAAGGAAAACCATTAAGGTAATAACCTTCAAGGTAAGTAAACTTTGCATAGGCTTTTATCAATAAAGGTCTCAATAAAGGTTACTTTCCAAACGCTTAATCACTGAGTTGACTGGTCCGACTGTTTCGATGACTATTCTAACGGTTACTCCCTCCTCCTAGTCGCTTATATCAGGACTCAGGCTTCCAACTTCTAGGCTGGGTGTCAATAAAAGCAAGAATCTTGGAACTGTAAAATTTCAGTAAGTTTTAGTATGTGAAGTGGTCTCTGCTTGAAAATATAAAGGTGCAACGACTTTCCGCGGGTCTTGCCTTCTTTGACAGTTTCCATTTCCGAGTATCACTCTTTTTCTTGTTATCGCGGCAAAATCCCAGCGGTCAAGGCAGAAGTACTGTCGTAGCCCTTTGCCATACTTTTATTTATCAAAAATTTTCTTGCAGTTTTACTTCTACACAATTGTCTACACTGATTTTTTTGGTTATGCACTTCTCCAAGTTGCATTTATCTCTGTTTGTTTAAGTTCGTGTACTAATTGTGATGCGCAACGCTTCGGCTGGTGTGAATTACGGTATCAACAGTTAATTTTTGACCAACTGTCTTTGTCGCGCTCGGCTTATCTTGACGTGTTGTTAGCGTGGCATCGCATTATCGATCGTTCCCAGTTGCTAAAATACTTCGAGCATTCCCCTCCCCGGTAGCCGAGTTAAGTTCGCCCTGTTTTATCGATTGCATCAGCTCTGATTGGCGCTAGTGCAGAAAAAAATTAATGTTTACCTGTCTCATCTTCGGCTTTCATCTGACTTCTCAAACGTTTTACGCGTGTGTGTGTGTAAAGGCGCGCATAATGTATGGACAAACTCTGTACATATATTTGTAAAAACAGCAAATCGCCTCGTGTTCTCCACAGCCTGTCGGCAGCAAGCCTGGCAACGCATGCACACGCAGCATACTTGGTGAGGGGTGTGTATATTTTGCGCACATTGCGCGCAAAAACAGAAATTATAATTCGTGCACGCAGTTGCCACGCAGTTGAGAGCAAGATAAATTGAAAAGAATAGGAACACTTTGACGCCGCTTTATGGACCGACGTAGGTGCTTACATGAAAAGTACTGCTTCATCATCATCAGCATCAACGTAAGAGGAAGGTGGCGGTGGCGGAAGGGGACTGTGGCTACTGGCGGAAGACTGCGAAAGGGACGTGACGGCCGCGTCCACAACCCTCACACTGGGTTCTTGATCGATCACTTCGGGGTGCGTTCGTTGAGGCTCGTGGAACACGTCAACGCCCACATCCGTTTAAATTAATTTAAAAAAGAAATCAGAATACCGAGACAGAGAAAAAGAATAACAAAAGTAACTGTTGACGTGATCGTTGTCCTGCCTACAAGGTGGAGAGTGAAAAAGGGTTGGTTGCTGCTCGAAGAACCCAGGAAATCTGAAAGACGTAAATCAACAGAGAGTAGAGGGAATTGCAGGACAGTCATGAGTAAGCTCTCTTTGCTAGGCGGTTTAAAAGGAAAAAAGAGCAAACTTAGTGTCTGTTGCGTCTCCCCGACCGCAGACTACGTCGACATGCATTTAGCCTTTGACTTGACTGGTTCAGGGAATTCGAGAGTCGAACAAAACACTCCCGAGCGAGCGAGGAAGTACTGCTAGAGTTGTGGTTGCTTCTTTGGCTGATCGCAGCTCGATTACTGTCTGAGGATTGCGTGTGGCTGCAAGTATCAGATGAACGCTGGGCTGTTGCTTGGGAGAAATTGGACTCCTCGGTTTCGTTCTGAGTTTTCTGATTTTCCTCGTCTTCCCTCCTACTGTCCTCGTCATCCTCCTCTTCGTCCTCCTCGTCTTCCTCATCCTCTTCATCAATTTCTCGTTCTAACTCACTGCCAAAATAATGCTCACTGGTGTAGTCCATATCGGAATTGTAAGCATAGTCTGCCGAACGATCAATGAAAGCCTCAACATAAAAGGAAGCTCTGTTGATTGTGTTTGTGTTGTAGTTGACATTGTTCGCCGAAGTACCCATCGTCTGAACCGTAGAGTTTAGCTGACCCAGAGATGCACCTGCAACCATAGATTGGTTTCCGGAAATATCAAAACGGTCAATATTAACTTATAAAAAAGATCACTGATGTTTGAAAAACATAAGGCATATTCACTGGATCGGTTGTTAGCCGTTCTTTGCAATGTAATTCAGCAAAGCTGAGTGAGGGATGGTTGGCTTATACAAGGTCATTGTGCAGTAAAACCAATAAAACCTACAGATTTGGGATAGTATCACTTCCAAATATGGTTATTCCATTGGCAAAAAGGACTCCCAAGTATTACTTTACATTACCAAAATGCACCAATTCTGTGGGTAGGAGTATGTCGTGGGGCCGCCTGAATGCGGTGCGAAGAGCGCCCCTCAGTCTTACGGACACCTGGTTTTAAGGGATGGGATGGTCGGGGTGTGGCAGTGAACAAATCAGTTAGCAATAATTCTGCGAAATAAAAAAGTTACGAAGGTAAGTTGGAGGATGTGCCCTGACCTCGGGCAAGGACACTGAAGTACATTTTAATGTCATCGCTAACCCCTGCTGTACCAACGGCGAGCGCGTGTATGTCGGGGAGGGGGGGTGTCCGCTGACCTCGGGCGAGGTCATCGAGGTATATGTTTAGTGGTACCGCTAATCCCAAATAGAATAATGGCGAATAAGTGAAGAAGTTGGTGGATTTTGGAAATTTATCCTACTTAAAATTTGCCCGTAAGCGGTTATTCCCATGGTTAATTTGAAAAGCCATTTTGCTTTATATACGGACTTTAGCAACTACTATACATGGTGGCCTCCCGAGGACCCCTTCGCAGTTCAGTATCATCCAATCCCTACTGAACCAACGGCTGATGTTCTAAAAACTGGAAGATTGTGGAAAATTCAGCCTACTTAACATTTGTAAGTAGGTGGGTATAATACATAAGCACCCTTCTGAGGCCCTACGACCCAACTGTGTATCTTCATGTACCATTCGCATCACTCACACATACTTTAGTTGTAGCGTTAGGTTGACATTGGTGGATGGACGTTCGCTCATCCCGTCCTGCCTTGGGATTCGCTTTCGATCCTTGCTGGCAGCCGCACAATACCTAGTATTATAAGCAGATGAACATTGTCGACAAAGACAGGGGAGACTAGAATGGCCATTTCTGGCTTAGGAGTCGTAATGAGTCAGCCACACCCAACCCCAGATGGTGCACCACAGCACATACGGGAATCGAACCCGCGACCTGTCAGTTTGAAGTCTAATGCTCTAACCACTTATGTTAAATATATATCAATGCGCCTTTATCCTTTGACTCGATGGAATGCACCATAGCTTAGATGCCAAAACTTGTAGCAGCAGATGAAGACGCTTGAGGATACGAAGGATTGTTGTCATAAGGCAGTGAGTTATCAGTATAATTTTATGTAAAAACATAAGATTAGATAATCTTGGCTTCCACTTTAACTGTTTCCGGCTGGATTTTTACCCAAAGTATAAGTTTAGATTGTATTATTCCTTAAATATTCAAAATATATAAACTCCAACATCTCGTCTGATCGCCAACACGCTCTGCTCCAGATAATAGCAGGGGCGCACTTTAACCCATGGACATCCTCGAGAACGCGGTAGTTCGTGTTCGCATTACTGTAGGTCATGGAATGTTGAAAATCATTATAAGGAAGCTGGGCTAGAAGACAACTCCTACCTCAAGAGATTAAGAAAGCCATAGAAGAGTGAATGCACAGTGAGCAGGATATTTGCTTTACGAGTTCAAAGAGAATAAAGAGGCCACGCGTTGTGGCTAAAAGTATGTGGGGTAAATAAGCACGCACGCTTGAACCTCCATGTCTTATTTCTAATCCGCCATATAGAAGGTAAAAATAGTAATATGCTATAATGGATGAGGGTCCAAATAATGAAGGAAGGTGGAGTAAAGCGTCGGTCAACACTGACTTTTAATATTGGTTATATACGCAGCTATGCAATTTGGATGCGGAGGCGAATAAAACGGTCTTTCGATTGTCTGTCTTCTGGGAAATCACCAGGAATTAGCAATCTTCTCTTTATTTGCTAACAAATTCGGCTTTAAAATGTTTGTGACCATGAGCACTGCTGTGTCGGCTCGCAGATAGTGGCCGCGGACCGTACGGCAAGTTGGCAATCTTGAAAGAAATAGGGGGTAACGTCGACATTCGAAAGATAATGCGCGATAGTGTTTCATCGAGGGATGTCCCCGTAAAATGATTGTCAAACAACATCCTTAAGGTATTTCGTTATTGAACATTTTCAGCTTCAGAAAATGAAAAGAGTAGGATTTAAGCGTTAATCCGTGGTTTCCAATTCCATTCTTATAAAACATTGTTGGGCTACTGTTTGTATCTAAGTAGCAATGTATTTGATATCACAATTATTATCCAATACGAACGAGCATGCGAGGCCCAGGAAGTAACTAGAACGAAGGAGAAGAAGATGCGATCGCTGGGACAAGAGTTTTATTCGCCTGACGTTTCGAAGTCCGTCACAGATCGGCGAGCAATCACCATATCCATTTCCACCACGTGTGATGAAAGTTCAACAAGTCACTGCCCGCACGCCGGTCATCAAGCAATTAGCGCACAAGTGGGCAATTATCCTCTGTAGGGGAGTCATTAATTGTCATAAGGTTGCAGCATCATAAAGACTTTATCCTATAAATACTTCAACTCCTTGTGCATTAATAACCCGTTTCTGCTTCTGTTTATGCTAAGGCCTCTGATGAAGAATCCGCGACGGCCTCAGAAACGCCTGGCGAATAAAAGTCCCAGCGATAGCATCTTCTTCTTCTTCTTAATAGTCTATTCAATAGACTATTGAATAGACAATTGAATAGACTATTAAGAAGAAGACTCTATTCCCTTGACAACAGGTATGCTGAATGCTTTTCTACTCAAAAGCTAAGCATATTTCCACCAACGTGCTCAATTATGCCCTCATCTTTTGAAGGCATTTTGCTGAGAATGTTTCGCTGACTGTGTGCGCCACTCACTTGAAAGTGCATATTTGTATTTAGGTTCAAGTAAAAAAACAAAAAGAAAACGCAAGGACACCGGACCACTTTCTACGTATAGCATCACGTTTTATGTCATCTAAAAAAAACTATTTCCGGTTACATTAAGCATGTTGAGGACGTCTCGTATTTTTTTCGGTATCGTCATGACACGGCCACCAAACTCGGTAGCGCAGCGATTCGCCGAGTATATAAATTCACGTATGCTACTAAATCCCTTCTATAAATGGCGCTGAAAAAGGGTGACAAATCTGACTGCCTAAATGTTTATAGCTGCTAAACTGGATATATGACTCTAGAGAAATAGGGATAGGTTCTGAAGAATGTTCGTCAGAACTGTTTCCGGACGTTTAGTGCAGAAAGGTAGAACTCATACTTGGTGGTTTTAAAATTCTGCCCTTTTTCAAACTACCTGCCTCCCTCCTCCAGCCAATAAGATGCTTTTGAGAGGCAGTTAATTGCAGGGATACTTACGAACGTATCTTCCTGACTGTGTTCCCATTATATTGCTCAAACATACGTTTGATGTAAAATTCGCCCCAGAGCCTGCAACCGACTGTGCTTTGTGCTACCTGTACATAATCGTATTTATGATCGCAACTGTATCTCATTAGAATCATCAAGACCTCCACCCGTATTCCAAAAATGCTTTGATAATTGCGCTAGGAACTACTGCTACTTGTGTGTAGTAAACAGATTAACCTCACCCCGAACGTCGATGCAAACTAAATTTTGAGGCATAGCATAAATTTTAAGTGCTGGATGACACATTTCTGAAGAGTTCACTCCCGCAATAGGTTCCAGCCATTCCGTTTGTGCTTCTTGCTTTGGTCTCTGGTTACAGCATGCCAGAATGTAGTTCTAAAAATAAATTTACTCCTTACATCTTCCCCGGAAGAGGAAAATCCAAATCGAATTCTCAAGATAGACCTTTTGATTTTGAGCCTTAATTTTGCGCAAGCTTTGCTCTAAGGTCATACGCATATGAGGAAATGGAACCAACAAAGACAGCAGCGACCGGAATGGCCACTTCTGACTTGTTAGCCGTCATCAGCCAGTCAGGGGTGAAATCTAAACCCAGAAGTGAAGACGCCCGAACTCGGGACCTTTGCTCATTGAGCGCAACACACCAAAATTGCACCACGAGGTAGTTGTTTTTGTTGGTTACGATCGGTAATATGATAAATGGTAGGGCACGCAACGATCTGGTTGCGCAACATGCTCGTTACGCTTTGTCTTAGAGCTCAAGTAAGATCCCTCACAGGCAGTATCATAGCTAATTATAGTAGCCAGACAGTGGCCATTCCAGTTGCCTTCCTCTTTGTGGGTTTCCCTTCACCGTATACTGCAAATCGCTATGCGATTGCCTGTGAGGGCTGCAGATTGGGCTCCAAGGCAAACGGGGACGAGCATGTTTCTTAACTAGATCGCTGAGCGCCCTATCATTCATCGTACACATATTTAGGACGAAATATTAACCCCTTATATTCTATAATTTTTACATAACAGATTTATCGAAACAGACAGTTAAAAAAGCATTTCCCGGACAAAATACCAATCGTACAACCTTCACTGCTTTGTGTAGAAGTTGAAGGTTTATTGGCGTTTAAAGGAGGCTAAGTAGCAGAAAATGAAACACACGTATACTGATGACCATAGAGACGCAACTTTGGCATATTTACCTGGTGAACCTGACCGTAAGATAGGCACGGAATCCTCGGTTGCCATAGGAGCGAGCTCACCTCGATCCGCGACGGGTTCCACGTACTTGGTTGTAAGCTGCCTGTTGCCCAGCGTGCAGGCGCAGGTGGCACTCGCTGGAAAGGTCAGCATCCGAATCGTCGAGCACTCGCGCGTCTTGGTGTCGAAGCGCTCCACCAGGCTGAGGA